GGCAAGACAAAAGAGTAATCCAAAACAAGCAATAATCCAATCGAGGAGCAAACACAGTCTGAAACAGCAAGGCAAAGGGTAAATCCAAGACAGGCTATAAACTTCAGGGCAGGCAGAGATCAGACAGGACGAGATAACAGGCTAGGATCAAGACACAGGAAAACAGACTATGAAAAAGGCTAGACTCAGGAACTTGGAATGGCTCCGTAAAGTAGCTATCCCTAGGTGAGAGATAAATGCTAAACAGTACTCAGCGACTTGAGCAGGATCTGAGTGGGTGTTATATAGTGTGTGTAATAGCTTTCAGGTGAGCGTGTGATTGGTTACAGCTGTGTGCAATCAGTGCAATGGATGATGGGAAATGCAGTCCACGGTGATGTGTAACAGTCTGTGTGGTGTGAGAGTCAGTATAATGGGAGAGCGACCTCTGGTGGCAATTGGACGGAAGGCCACGGACCGGATTCATGACAGTTGTGTAGACTTCTACTATTTACACATCTTTATTAATCATTTATTAATTATCTGTTCATGTTTTTGCAGTAGCCAATCTAAAGTTGAAACTATTCATCATTTGTAAATGTTTATAAACGATTACTAATCATTTATTATCTTTATGGTCACTGGACTTTTGGCTACTGTAACAAGGTTTGTGTAAAGGGTGGCTGATTAAATTTAGATAAATGCTTGCTAAACAAAAAACAAACAAATAAACACTCACATTACTATACTACTCTTCAGTATATCATTAAACAGGATATTCCTTGAATCATAAATAAAAAGGAGGAAACAGATCATTTTTTAAAAGAAAATACTTGTTCATTTATCAAAACAATATAATATAAGCAGATTGAACCGTGTTCCTTTATAATAATCAAACTGACCCCTGTACACTGTTGACCCTTTAACCAACCCGTAAACCTACCCATACCACCAAACCTGTCCCTAACCTACCCATATCACACCTCAACAGCAGCAGAAGTGTTGTGCATTAACACAAGATTTTCATCATTGTATAACATCTGTTAAAATCATTTGTAGTTTTTCAATAAGTGCTTGATCATATGAATCGAAAGTTTAATGACATTTGTAAGCATTTTAACTTGCATGAAATAATAATTTGTTAATCATTAGATAATGTTTAATAATTAGTAAACATTACCAAGAGCATTATCTCATGTTTCTAGCTATGTGAATATATTTATATTAACTAATGATCTGCTAAGCATTATATAATGTTTGTTAATGATTTATGAATGAAAGTTATTATAAAATGCCACCCCTCTATGAATGTGGATTTAGATCAGCTGAACTTGTGCTCTTCTGGCATCCAGCTCCTGGACCAATTTCATTCTTGACCTTCGAGAGCCCCTCAGAGACCGAGATCACCCTGCGCTGGGGAGCTCCAGACAAACCCAACGGGGCGCTCACAGGCTACCTGCTGCAGTACTACGAAAGTGGGTGAACTCAGGCTTTTTATTTAAACTGTATTTGCACTTTAAATCTGTTTCAAAGCTATCTGTATTATATACAGTAAATTTACAGCAAATTCAAATTTTGAGATATAATTATAAATACAGCTTATTTAAGCAGCAAAGCAAATAATACAGTATCAGTGAATTAAGTGATTAGATTGTTTCTATAAATAGTAGACATTGAAACAGCTTGTTTAGCTTGGAGATATGCTTATGTGATTTTTAATGCATTTAAGGACAGGTTATCAGTTATTAATGAACAGCTTTACAAAGAGAAGCTTAATGTGAAGTCTTTTTCATTCTGATGGGTTTCTGTTCTGTTCTCTGTTTAGCTGTGCCTGGGATTTCGAGCCCACAACAGGTGGAATCCATCGATCTGCCCCTTGTTACTGAGTTCAGACTGAAGGGTCTGAATCCTCAGAGCCTATACCACTTTGATCTTAGAGCATGCACCGCTGCTGGTGATGGGGAACCTATAGTAAGGGAGGGCGCCACCTTGCTGGATGGAGGTGAAACTGCACAGCATTCTCATTGTTTAGTGTGTTAGCAGGACACAATATAATCTACAATATTGTATTATCTACATGTTCCCTCTGCAGAACCACCATCTGCAATCAACATAACTGCTGGACAAACATCGGTTAATGTCAGTTGGGTGCCAGGAGAAAGACAGCGTAACTTTGCCTTTAGCTTCTGTTACCTGAAAAAAAGTGGTGAGTCTGATCAAGGTTAAGACAAAACTTTTGATCTACTTTTCCTGAATCCTGAAGGAATGAAACATGTCATAGTACTGTAGCAAGTCTGAAAAAGTGTGTTATGCTGTCAGGTGTGATTTAAGTCAAATTTGTTCTGTTCCTGTGTTTTGTGTTCTTTTTGCATGGGGGCTTTAAGGGGTGGGTGTTCTTCTTAAGAACGAGTCTGCGCACTCGTGTGTGGGTGGAGTCTGGGGGGAAAGGTTCTGGAAGTTTGTGAGTTCAGAGAGAGAGAGTTGAGCTCAAGCGTTGGGTTTGCCTCGGGCGCTCTCGTGAATAAAAAGCAAGCTAAAAAACCGTCAAGTTGTCGTTTCACTGACTGGATCGCTACACTGGTGTCAGAAGTGACCTAACCGAATCCAGTTGGTCTACGGGATTACTGACATTATTGTCCCGGCAGCACGATGCGGAAGCAGACTCGAGAAAAGATTAAATCCGAGCCAGGCGCGAGCCGAATGTTTCAGGAGGCTCTGGGCGCTTCGGCGTGGGCTTCTGATCGATTCGCAACAGATGGCTATCTGGATTCGCACAAGGCTCGTGTGAAGGAGGCTACGAGGAGGATGACTGCAGACGCCGGGCTTTCACCGCCGGATCCGAATGTCACCGAGAGCTGCCGAACTTTCACGGGGACATCCAACAGACACAGCGGCGCGCACAGGACCGCGCTGGCTTCGGATGCGAACAGACACAGCGGCGCGCACGAAACCCCGCTGTTGTCGGATGTAAACAGACATGGCGGCGCCCACGGAGCCGCGCTGTTGACAGAGGTGAATGAACACGGTGGCGCCCGTGCTGCCACGGTGGCTGTTAAAACCCCCAAATTCTCAGGTAAAGCTGATTGGGAAGCTTTTCACGCACAGTTTGAACTGTTGGTTCATGCTGGGAACTGGTCGGAGGACCGCAAAGCTCTTGAATTGGCTATGTGCCTTATAGATGATGCTCTGAACTGTTTGTTATTGCTTTGCCCTGAAAATAGACATGATTATAAGGCACTTGTCGGGGCACTGAGACAGCGTTTTGGTCGATTTGAACAGCCAGGGCTTCTGCGTTCCGAACTGAGTAATAGACGCAGGCAGCCAGGAGAGCAGCTGAGAAGATGCATTAGTGAATCTGGCTTGAAGCTACACCCAGAGAAATGTCACTTCTTTAGGAGAGAGGTGACGTTCTTGGGGCACAAGCTGGGGGGGCAGGGGATTGGCAGGCTCGTGAGAAGAGATGTGGAGGATTTTTTCGGCGGTGTGATGATTGCACCGCCCGCAAGGGGCCGTCTGGCTGGTCCCACACGGCCCTTCAACAATTCCCCGTAGGGGGTCCAATGGAGAGGGTGGGGGTGGACATAATGGGTCCTTTTCCACACTCTGACAGGGGTAACAGGTTTGTGCTGACGGCTATGGATTATTTCACTAAATGGCCAGAAGCTTACACACTGCCTGACCAAGAAGCCGAGACAGTGGTAGACACATTGGTAGATGGCATGTTCTGCCGCTTCGGGGTAGCAGAATTGGTACATAGTGACCAAGGCCGAAACTTTGAGTCACGTGTCTTCGCGGTAATGTGTGACAAATTGGGGATCCACAAAACAAGAACCACCCCTTTGCACCCTCAAAGCGACGGCCTCGTAGAGAGGTTTAATAGGACCCTGGCAGCACAGCTGGCCATTGTGACTGCTAAACATCAACGAGATTGGGACAGGCACTTGCCGTTCATTCTAATGGCATGCCGATCTGCTGTGCAAGACTCAACCTCTTGCACACCTGCCCTTTTGATGTTGGGGCGCGAGATCAGAACACCAGGAGAAATGGTTTTTGGGAGGCCACCTGATGCACCTGCTGTGCCCCCGGGCCCTGAGTTTGCTAGAACTCTTCAGAACTCATTGGAAGTCGCTCATAATTTTGCAAGGAAGCAGTTGGTGAAAGCGGGGGCCCGGCAGAAGCGAAATTATGACCTAAAAACAAAAGGGCGGCATTTCACAGCGGGAGAGTTGGTGTGGGTTTACAGCCCTCAGAGGAAGAAGGGCAGGTGCCCTAAGCTCGACTCCCAGTGGGTCGGGCCATGTAGTGTACTAGAAAGAATTGGCGAAGTTGTTTACCGGGTTCAGTTGCCTCCAAGGGGTAGGAAGGTGGCCGTGCACCGGGATAGATTGGCACCTTACAAAGGAGGTGCCGCTGCAGCCGTGACGCCGGCCTCCGCTACGCATATACCTGCTCCAGAGGGCGAGGCAGGACCGCAGCCGAGCACTGCCAGTCCTCTGGCAGTCCCCCATGCAGCCACACCGGTTCTTGAGCTGCAACCGTTGCATTTAGATAGCCCGGTGACAGTAACACAGGTGGGGCAGCCGTGGCCTCAGAGAGTCAGAAGGCCGCCGGGACGGTTCCGGGACTTTGTTTGTTCCCTCGGGGTCGAGGAACTCTGTGAGGGGGGGGCAGTGTAGCAAGTCTGAAAAAGTGTGTTATGCTGTCAGGTGTGATTTAAGTCAAATATGTTCTGTTCCTGTGTTTTGTGTTCTTTTTGCATGGGGGCTTTAAGGGATGGGTATTCTTAAGAACGAGTCTGCGCACTCGTGTGTGGGTGGAGTCTGGGGAGTCAGAGAGAGAGAGTTGAGCTCAAGAGTTGGGTTTGCCTCGGGCGCTCTCGTGAATAAAAAGCAAGCTAAAAAAACGTCAAGTTGTCGTTTCACTTACTGGATCGCTACAGTACAGAGGTGGGCAAACTTTTTAGACCAGAGGGCCACATCAAGTTTTGCAAACCAAGTGAAGGGCCATATGCCAAATCCTTGATAAAAGAACTTTTATTTACTGTGGAGGTATGCATGGAACATATATTATCTGACAGAAACATTTGTCACATTAACACATTAAACAAATTCTTATTTAATATCTGTTATTGAGTCAAATTTACAACAGACAATCTCGTTTGCACTGCTATTAGTATGTACATATCAATCATCATAAAACTATGTCTGATAAAACTGAAGGAGAACCTTAGTCTTTGTCTTTCCAAGTCATGGTTATGAGTGTGTTAATGTGAACAATGAGCCTGGCCCCCTCTCCTTGCAAGGGTGTCAAAGTCTGGAGTGATCTTTGATGTAGAGATGCTCAGGATAGCTGACAAGTGGCCATTTGTTAAATTTGATCTACGGTGGGATTTATTGTAGTTCATGACTGAGTAGGTTTGTTCACACACATATGTGGATCCAAATAAAACAAGCATTCTTTGGGCATGCTATTTAATGTTTGGGAATTTTTTTTCATCCAGTGAGGCATAAAACTGGTTAACTGGTGTTGTCTGAAACTTCTCCTTCAATGTACTGTCACACTGCATGTGTACCAGTTGTTTGTCTGGTGGTGCATTCTCACTGTCAAAAGATAGGGGGCATGAGACAAGTTCAAGCTCTGTCTCAATTTTTGCAAAGTCTGTGAAGCGACGGGAAAATTCTGCATGCAGGTCGATCAAAGTGCTGCTGTACCTCTCAATGCAAGACTGTGTTATTGGTGTGCTTAGTCCGGTCAGTGTAGGAAAATGAGCGAAATCTCGGCTGGATATCTGTCTGGAGAACAGTACAAGTTTGGCCTTGAACACTTTCACGTTGCTGTACAGTTTGTGCACAAAAACGTCCTTTCCCTGAAGTCTCAAATTAAGATAATTCAGATGCCTCAGTGTGTCGACACCGAACGCGAGGTCGGCCAGCCAGTCTGTGTCTTGTAATATGGGGAAGTCGTCAGTTTTGCCAATCGTATTGAGGAACGTTGCTATCTCACCTTTTAGTTCCCAGACACGGTGAAACACATTGCCGAGACTTTTGCACACATTTGAATGGTACAAGAAGTCATGGTGCTCTGCCTCTGTTTCGTTAAGCAGCTGAATGAACTGCCGGTGGTTCAGCACTCTTGCCCGTATAAAGTTGACAAGCTTCACAACCACTTTGACAACATTTTCTAGCTTCGACACACTTTTACACAAGGCTTCCTGGTGTATGATGCAGTGAAGAAATTATGGTTCTTCGAAGTTCTGGGTTTCATCTTTCGTCTTGCAACCTTTTTAGCAGTCCAGTGTTTTTACCGGTTAGATTTGGCGATCCATCTGTTGTGATGCTTGTCAGCTTTCTCCATGGCAGGTTATTTTTTTCCAGGCAGACGGACACACTGTCATACAAATCCATGCCCCTGGTCATTCCCATCATTGATTCCATCCCGAGGAGTTCTTCTGTTATTTCAAATTTTTCATTTATTCCTCTGACAAAAATCAAAAGTTGAGCAGTGTCTGTGATGTCAGAACTTTCATCAAGTGCGATAGAAAAAAGACTGAAACCGTCTGCTTTTTTTTTTTTTTAGTTTCGTAGAAGTAGCTCCTCTGCAATTACTAACACGTGCCTGGTAATTGTTCTCTGCGATAAGCTAATTTTCTCAAACTGACTTTTAGATCCAGGACAAAGTATGTCAGCAGTCTCCACCATACAGTCTTTCACAATTTCCCCATCCGAAAAAGGCTTGCTGTGCTTTGCAATTTTATGTGCCACTACATAACTAGCTTTCGTTACAGATTCTTGAATAGAGCACTGTTTTGTAAATGTATTTTGCTGGGCTTTTAAGTTTGTGGCAAGTTTTAAAGCCTTGTTTGCCTTTTCTGCAGGTGACAGGTTGACAGCATAATTCAAATGCTTGCTTGAAAAATGACGACTGAGGTTGTAAAAACCGCCATACTTTCTTGGCATATTAGACATACCGCCTTCTGTCCGATATTGGTGAAGAAATATTTTGTTGTCCATTCTTCCTTGAACACACGACATTCAGAGTCCACTTTTCTTTTTTTCGCCAAGCTCATTTTCACTCATCATTAACATCCAAGTTACTACCGAGTGCATTCTAATTCTACTGTAGGCGCTAACTGTACCACGTGCTATATTGCCATCAAATGGCGTTCTCTTGTATTGCATCAAATTAGTAATTCTGAACTAAAACCGTTACTGAAATGTAGCATTTTTAAAAACTCCCTCGCGGGCCAGATGAAAGTGTTCGGCGGGCCGTAGTTTGACCCCCCTCTGTCATAGTATCATAATTGATGTTGTTGATCACCATCATCAAACATTAGTGATGATAGTGTAGACGTAATTTGTATGTGTAGCTAGAGTATGTTTTTGAATGTTCGGATGAACACTGAAATGTATCTTAAATCTATAGCATCTAAAATGTATGGCCATTTACATATGAAGAGATGTATAAATCTTTATCCTCTTAGGCAGAGATGCCCAAACCAGGGTATATGGGCCAAATTAGGCATGCCATTCAATGTCATAAGACAGGGCAAAAATAGGGAAAAATAAATGCCCTTGAAGCATCTTCATTTCTACTTTATCCTTTTGCATTGAAATGTAGAGATTTTAAGTAAGTTTGATGTTGATATTATAGTTAGATATAATGCAACATTAACTTTCATCCCCACAGCCCTCCGTTTATTTTTTTTGGGCACTATGCTTAAAGGCTCACATAGTGGGATTCTAATTTGTCAGTAAAATATGTCAAATAAAAGCTTTTTAATGGCAAATGAAATCTAGGTGGGACTAAGTCATTTGCACTCTGTATGTATGGCTAAATTTATATTGGTATGAGATACAGGTGAAACACTATCAATGTTAGTGTAGGTGTACTGATCAGTACTGATTTGTGTGGGTTGGAGGTACAGGTTTTGCCCAGATGTCCCCATATGAGAAAACCTGAAAAAATCTATGCTATTCATGCTGAACTCAATGAGGATGTTGTTTGTGTGTATGGTAGCAGGTGGTGAATGGGAAGAGTCGGAGAAGGTCAACTCCTCGCAGGCGTTCTATCAGCTGCAGGGTCTGGCACCGGGCGTTCAGTACCACCTGCAGATCCGGCCCGGAAACAACTCCTGGGAATTCAAAACGGCTGGACCAGGTACAGGCTAGTAACAACCACCTCCGGATCGCTTTATTCGTTCCATGCTCTCATGTGTTGTCTCTTTCTCAGAGCTGCACGAGTTGTCCAGTAGCTTTGCGACTCAGGGCTGGTTCATCGGACTCATCAGCGCCATGGTTCTGCTGCTGCTGGTGCTGCTCATTCTGTGCTACATCAAGAAGAGCAAAGGAGGGAAGTATTCAGGTAACACACAAAGTACCTCGCACAATTTACTGGAAAAATCATTACGTGTCTCTCTGGAATATTTGAACGTTCTGATAGCAGCCTTCTGTGGTCTGATGTTTTTCGACCTTCCCTTGGGGAAGACCAATACTAATGGACCTGCACTTGGATAGAGTCTGCTTCACTTTATCTTGTTGAGTCCTACCAGTAAGAAATGAATGAAACCATTTGATACTGTCAGGATTGGCAGCCAAACTAAGTTTGGAGAGCACAAGGTGTGGCTGCACAGCTCAGATCAAGGAAGAACAACCTGGCATGAGACTTAGGGTCCTCCAGATGTTTTACAACCTGATGCACCACAGTCAGGATAGCATCATTAGTGCCCCTGTTGTTCTGAGAGGGATCAAGATGGTCCTTAACCTCTTCTTTAAGGCCTGAAATGGGCGCACAATGTCAAATGTTTTTTTGCGCTGAGTGTGTTTTTGTGCTGGTTTAGGCTTGTCATGGATAAATAAATATGACACTAAAACCGCCAGTAGGTGGCAGCGAGTGTCTGTTTTAATTAATGATTCATTGAATTCTTCTATCAAACGATTCTTTCAAAATGGCTGATTCAATTAGAAGTGAAGCAAGTGGGGCAGTCGTGGCCTAATGGTTAGAGAGTCGGACTTGTAACCCGAAGGTTGTGGGTTTGAGTCTCAAATCCCGCAGGAATTGTAGGTGGGGCAGTGAATAACCAGCGCTCTCTTCCACCCTCAATACCACGACTGAGGTGAGACCCTTGAGCAAGAACTAAACCCCCAACTGCTCCCCGGCGCCACAGCAAAAACAGCTGCCCACTGCTGTGTGCGTGTGTACAGATGAGTAAAATACAGAGCACAAGTTCTGAATATGGGTCGCCACACTTCACTTCAAGTTCTTAATGAATAGATCATTGAATAATTGGCTCACTGATTCATTCAAAAACAGATTCATTCGGGAAAGAAACACTGCAGTGTTGCTCTGAGATGCATAACAGCTCTGCTCCAGCTTTGTTGGGAACTATATAATTTGCAAAACAGGAAAAAAGACAAAATATCTCTAAAATGTAACTCACTCATCTTCTTTTCTGTTGAACTGCTGTTTAAAATTAAATTAACATTTGCGATCACGCACACATGCAGGTTCTTGTGTGATAATGCTTAACTATATCATATAAAGATTTTAAAAAATAACACACAGTGATATACAGTATTTTTTTTCTTTCTTTTTTTGAATTATAGAGGCATTCTAACTGCATTGTAATAGGCTTCATGCTTTTGGACTCTCAAGATGTGTTTTTTGCAAAGTCCCTGAGATACTATATAATGTCAGCTAGCGTGAATTAGAACAGGGTGATCATTTCTGAATTATGCCATCCCCCCGAATCCCCCATCAATTCGAGCCCTGCATATGAGACATTGGCCCTGTCCCAAATCGCACCCTAAACCCTCGCGGTCTTCCTCTGACTCCACACTTTCGTGACGTAATGCCGCTTTGACTGTCGGGTAGAAGTCTGCCACAGAGCTCACCCCAGTGCGGGCTCGGCAGAAGAAGGGCTCATAGCGGCCGCAAGGGGGCACTCACGAGCACCCTTCTGAAAGCTAAAATGAGGAATGGGACACCCTACGGCCTCGTGGACTTAACGGACACGCGCACACGAGGCCATTGTAAGACCGCAAGTGCGCATGAAGTGTGCCATTTGGGACAGGGCCATTGTTGTCAAAGCCACTGGAAGGCAACATTTAGCCAAAAAAGCTAACGGCTAATGCTAACGCTTCCGCTTTGGTGATACGCAGGGAAGGAGACCAGAGGCCTTTTTTTTATGGATGTCAATAGAGGAGAGGCTTCACTATGCTGAATAAACAGCTTTTTATTGGAAACAGCTGATCATTTAATGAATCTTCAGCTTATTTAATCTCCAACATGTTTTACACTAAACAATAGTTCCCTTTCATGGGAACTTCGAACTGCGTCCTCTAGGGGTCGCTATGGGGAACGCCTCGTCGTGACCCGTGTCTGAAACATACATTGAAAAAACACCAACAACATGTTGGCTGGCGACAGCCATGACGTCACTACCGGTGCGACTATAGTATAAATAGGCGCCGGGAGAACACATCATCCACTTCTTCGTCTTCACTGACTGTTTTGTTTGAAGGGTGCATTTCTGTGGTAAGAGTGATCTCTTTCATATCATTATGGCGAGCACTAGCAAAGCGTTTAGAGGATGTGTGCATCCGTGTTGTCCTTGTTTAACATCTGAGGACACACACGATCTATGCGTTATTTGTTTGGGCGAAGACCACGCACGGGATGTCTCTGAGGGGGCAATCGGCGTGCACTGCGAGCGTTTTTCCAATGAAAAAGTTCCGCTCTCGTTTGTCCCTTTTTTCGAGAAACAGTAGGATGACTTACTACTTGCAGTGTTTATTTCACTCGTCGATATATGTCCAGATGGTACGATAAGCCTGATTTTGGCTTCATACTTCATGGATCATGCGGCCAGGTCACAGGCTTCTGCGGGAGCCTTCTTGATCATCAGGCCCCCGGCACGGCACTGCAAAAATTTCCTGGACGTCTGGGCTGGGCTTATGCTTTCAGGCTGCCCTGTCTGATTTACTGTATCTAGGTTGCCCTGAGGGGCCTCCCGATCACAAGGATATCCCCTCTTGCTGAGGCATCGAGCGGGAAGTATAGATGGCAGTTGCGAGAACCTTCTTGTGTAATGCTGTCTCAGGCAGTGCTCCCCTCACCTTACTTTGAAACATGCTGCAGGTCGAGCCTCCTCTCGTTTGAGAACTGGGTGTGTTGCTCCCTCAGCAAAGTAACTGCTAGCTGTTAAACCATTGGAACATGCTGTAGGTCGAGCTCCCTCTCGATTGAGAGCTGGATGTTTGCTCCCTCAGCTACAGATTTACTGCTAGTCATGGCTGTCGCCAGCCAACGTGTTGTTGGTGTTTTTTCAATGTATGCTTCAGACACGGGTCACGACGAGGCGTTCCCCGTAGTGTCTCGTTCCCTACTCAGGGAACCATGGTTACATACGTAACCTGAGACGTTTTGGATTAAACTATTTTTAGAGTTTACACTGAAAAAATGCTGTTTTATAAGAGAAGTCACAGACTTTTTGCGACAGGTGGGATTCAGTTTACAGCACTTCTCATTCATTCCTATAGTATCCCTAAACGGTTATTTTGTGTCGCACAACTCTGACTGAAATTTAGTGACGTCAAGGCTATAGGTGTGTTCGACCACATGCGGCGCTGCGCAGACCGATCGGCGAGAGTAGCCGCTTGCTGGTTATATATGCTTTTATCAGTGTTTTTTGATAAACTTGACTCAATATAACATTGCAACTACAGTAAAAGAGCTTTTACTCTTCTAAAACCACAGATTTGTGAGCAGTATTGGAATTGAAGATGTTAGAATAAACCCTAAACACGCGTCATCATTGTCATGTGGTGAATTCAGCCAATCGTGAAACAGCAGTGTCGTCATCAGTGCTCCTGCAGTCGCTCTGGAGAAACTGCGCCGGCTGAGTCAGCCGACTGCTCTCGAAACGCTCTCGCGGTACTTTGATGCCATTTGTCACAGTGACGTGGCGTCAGTGCTGTCTCAGACTGGCATGCACTGCTTCAAGTAAGATTTCGATTGATCTGCGCAGCGCCGCATTAAGTCGAACACACCTTATAATGTGATTGGCTATTAAGGCACACGTGGTGAAAAACAGTATGTGAGGCGAGTATTATGTCTGAATTCATAGTATTCGAAAAACAGTAGGATGACTTACTACTTGCAGTGTATATTTCACTCGTCGATATATGTCCAGATGGTACGATAAGCCGGATTTTGGCTTCATACTTCCTGGATCATGCGGCCAGGTCACAGGCTTCTGCAGGAGCCTTCTTGATCATCAGGCCCCCAGCACGGCACTGCAAAAATTCACATTTAAATTCACATCAAAGCAATACACAGTTATATGCAAACACCGTGTTAAAGTGAGTTTTGCATCTGATGTCCCCTTTAACCTCCTTGGTGATATAAGGCTTGTTGTCTGGAAAATGTTTAAACTGTTTAACTGGTATCACAGAATCTACACAGAACTTGCACTTCCCAATGAGTACAGAGAAAACAACCACATTCTCTGAGTCTGGAGACCAAAGTCTCACCACATTGGTTACAGGCTTACTTGACTTCAGCGAAGTATGGTATACAGGAATAAGCTGCACTGAATTATGGTCAGAATTTGCCAGTGGTGGTTTAACTTTAGCAATATATGCATTGGATATGTCCCTATAACACTTATTAGTGCAAAATATTAGTGTTTCTTGTGTTACAGCTGACATCCTGTTGAAAACCAGGAAGAAACTGTCGAAGATAACAGTGGTTCATATTAGATAAAGAAAGAAAATACCTAAAACAATTTAAAAATTCTGCTATGGGAACACCTTCAGTGTGTGCCAGGTCTGAAGCACTTGTAAAAACACACCAATTCTATTGGCAGAGGCAGTCATGTGACATATCACTCAGCATGCTGACATAACTATATGCAGCATATGGATCTCTTTTCTGAGAACCAGGGTTACATACATAACTCCTCTTCATTGTATGGGAACTCAATGCTGCATCAATTGCTGATGATATAAGAATTATAATACCCACTACACCATACTGAAAAAATGCCTGCACTCAAGCTGTGATAAAAAACCACAAGTGAACAACCATGCAACAACCCAGGATCAACCCAATTTCCAGTTGAATAGGCACTCTTTGTCTTCCTCGGGAGAGCCCGCTCAATCCCCTGCCAGAGGCACCACTATGCACTCAATTTTTAATAAGAAGTTTTAATAAGAGTCTGTTGTCAATTTGCCAATCTTTTTTTTTTTTTTGCATTTCAGTGAGCTGCTAACATCTTGGTGCCAGATACCACAGCACACCTTCAGGAGTCTAGTGGAGTCCATGCCTCGACGGGTCAGGGCTGTTTTGGCAGCAAAAGCGGGACCAACACAATATTAGGAAGGTGGTCATAATGTTATGCTTGATTGGTGAATATATTTATTTATTTATTTATTTATTTAGTTAGTTAGTTAGTTAGTTCGTTTATCAGACGCTTTTATCCAAAGCGACTTACAAATGAGGACAACAGAAGCAATCAATTGTAGTATTAAAACAACT